AGCAAAAACCTCGCTACCTTGCTCGGCGCTTTGGTCACGGGAGAAAAGAGGTGGATCGGAATATTCGAAGGCGGACGAAAAATCTCACGCCCTTGAGGCGCTCGCTGGAATCGGCTTGGGAAATCTCCCACGTGAAATGCCTAAACGACGCGCGCTGCAACGTAAGAGGGGTGAAAGTATGAAGGCTACCAGAGCAACAAGTAAAAAGTCGTCTGCCCAGGTTCAATTACGATGGCCAGCCTCATCTTGGAATGCATCCTCTCCGCGCGACACCGCTTTGACACAGTTGTCGCGTAGGGCAAGCAGACCAACAGGTTTCAAAAGGGGACCAATGCCATACGAGGCGGAGGGAGGCATCACTTTTGACGAGTTTAGAAACCACCGTCGACGGGGATTTCATCGTTCAAAAGTCTGATGCGAGAAGAGAGAACTGCTGGCTGATTTTTGAAATTGATAGACAAAGCAATAGACAAGGAAGACATAGGGAGTATGGAGCAATCCTATTGGTTGAAATGGGTTGTTCTTATCGACTAAAGGGGTAAATGATGGACTCACTAAAGGTTCTCTCGTGGGTTGCCGTTAGTTAGTCTGTTACCTACCTCCTTTGTCCATTGCAACCACCCCCTTTCACCAATTGGATCCCTCCATATCCCTTTTGTCTTCTTTGTCTATCAATTTCAACTATCAGCCCGCTGGTAGTGTTAGATTACGTAGAGTCCCTATAAACTGAGAATAGGTCAGTTATGCTGGTCACAGAATCGTGCTTTTATCCTTGATTCCTGTAGATTAGCTAAAAAAAATCAGATTTTTCCAAATAGCAACTTTCTACGTTTAATATTAACCGATATATATCGCGCTTCGAAAAATTTGCTTTATGACGTCATCAACCGCGGTGGTACTGGGCACCCTTGGTTTCTTCCACCTTGCTATCATCAGAGTTTCACTTTGAGTAACCAGTGCAAATGTGTGTCTCTTAGACTAATGAAAACAAGGTAGAAGAAACCAAGGGTTTCCAGTACTATCGCGGTGAATGATGTCATAAAGCGAATATTTCGAAGCGCGTTATCTCGGCTAATACTGAACGTAGAGAATTACTGTTTGCGTGGATAAGATCAATTTTAGCTGATCTATGAGAATCAGGCATTAAAACACGATTCTGTAACTAGCGTAACTGACGCATTCAGGCACAGAGGAGCTTTCCGGAAAAAGGGCGCATAGCAAAAAATCGCGTTTGAGAAAAATGCATTTTAGGTTTCCATCATTAATTCCTGGCCGCTGATGGCACCTCTCATCGCAGCTTGAACTCCCGATTTCGAACGTAAGTCACTGACAGTGGCCATACAGAAATAATAAAAACTTCACATGCATTTCTCTTAAATGTAATTTTTTGCTATGCGCCCTTTTTCCGGAAAGCTCCTCACATGGAATCCATCTCTGTTAGGTGGGGGTCTCCTGATGGAGGAGTCTGTTTACAAAAAGACTAAGAACTCGACCCCCCATATAATGGAGATGTTGCATGTGTGAGGAATTTGCGATTTGACTGTTGATTCTTGTGTAAAAGTTCGCGAGAAACACGATGGTGCCACTGGTTTTCTCTGAAATCAACTCCCAAGCTCAAAAAAAGCTCTCAAGTTGGGGCCAAAATGGAGGGGATATCCCACGTTATTCTGAGAGCCCACCTCTACATCAAGACGAACTCTCCATGCAAAGATAGGGAGCAAATACATTGACAGGAGTGTCACCATTTATTTGGGGACTCTTAAACTGAAATCACGGCAGCCCTGTCAATGTATTTGCTCCCTATCTTTGCATGGAGAGTTTGTCTTGATGTAGAGGTGGACTCTCAGGATAGCGTGGGATATCCCCTCCATTTTGGCCCCAACTTGAGAGCTTTTTTTAGCTTGGGAGTTCATTTCAGAGAAAACCAGAGGCACCATCGTGTTTCTCGCGAACTTTTACTTAAGAACCAACAGTCAAATCGCAAATTCCTCACACATGCAACACCTCCATTTGTTCCTAGCTCCACGACGAAACGCAAGACAGGTAAACAACTTGTCCGGCAACAAGGTTAGTACATTTAGTGGCTTCGTGAAGATTCCGAAAACTTGACTTTGGAGGCCGGATCGATGGCGGTACGAAGACCTCCAAGTGTAGCCGACGGAGTGTGTCGCTCGAGTCACACCGTGAGAGACTCGGTCGGGACTCGAGGCATTTACCATTAAAATGCGAGGGGTCAGGGAACACCGAGCCGGGACTAGACGCGGCTCCGTTTTTCATCTCTCACTCGTGAAGTGAAGGCTATTGCGGTGTATGACTGTATGTGCGGGGTTCGCGCCCTTGAGAGGAAGTGCACGGTGCACCGTCGAATGCTCTCTCCTTAGCACATTTTAAATGCTCAGGAACAAGCGTCATTGAGATTTTTTATCGGGATCCTTTCATTCATGCAGGCTCCGCGTTTGCCAAACAGATCCGTATTTTGCCTTTGATATATCTGATACGTGGATCGATGGCCAAAGTTCGAGTACCTAACATGCACTGGGGAAAAAAACCCACATTGGATCTGAAGTCAAGACTCTTAAAGACATCGACAAGAAAAAGTACTCTTGATTCAATATGAATCTAGCTTGAATCAAGAACCTAACCTCTTCATAGAAGCGGATTTCGTTTTAATTCAAGCAAAAATCCGATTGAATCAAGAGTATTTTTTCTTGTCAATGTTTTAAGAGTCTGGACTCTAGATCCAATGTGTTTTTTTTTCCAGTGATGGGGAGAGTACGGACATGGTGATTTGGAGGTTACTTCATGGAGCTATAAGACCCAAAGAGGCCGCCAAAAGATGAGCTGACCCGCTATCAAGGGTGACTTTTTATTAAGATTGTAAGAACCCTTCGTTTGTAAAGCATGTATTCGACTGACAATTAGTTTTTGCATAGGTTTTCTGATTTTTGCGGAAGGGCGTTTGTTTATGGACATTCTTGGACATCTTGGTTTGACATTGGAATCTGGAGATTGACAGAGGCGTTTTTCTGGTGTGGTTCGCGTTAGACGGCTGGCAGTAATTTTGGACCATACGAGCTCTATTTTCCGACATATCCGTGCGCTCTTCATGTAGGTACTCTAGCCAAAGTGCCAAGCCACGTATGTATCTCCGATCCGAGTGTGGAATGGCAAAAAAGCTGGCGGGCCATTTTGGGAGTATTTTCGAGATTTAACGGACACTGGACATCAAATATCATGAGCCGAGTTGGCTGATGGCGCTGACTCTGAAATAAACAAGACAGCGAACAGGAAAAACACTTTTATCGCTCCTATTGGGTGTGAATCGCCATCTTCTACCTCCACTACGACGCGACGCGCTCGTTCCACAAATTGGTGCGGCCTCGATTAGCGCCTGAAACTCGAAGTCACTCTCGCACCGACTGCGACTTAGATGAGCTTTTACGAGTATTTCTTGTTCATTGTTCTCCTTGCAAAAATGCCCTCGAAAAAACTGATGATCTGATCCAGTAAGCATTTCATTGGCATCGTCAAAAATTAAAAGCACATCAACCAACCTGCCGTGCTAAGGAAAAACGCCGTATGAGCATTCGAGAGTTGCCAAATTTTCCTGGAGAAAACATGCATTTTTGACGGAAATTAAGCACATTTTGCTTTGAAATTTACAGATATATTAGATTAAAGTGCGTGCGGAACTGTCCGAAAATTTCGTGGAAAAAATACTCACAATTTTTCCTGTAAATTCGGTTTTTATCGAAGGAAATTTGGCAGCGTCTGAAAGCTCATGCGACGTTCTTCCTTTGCAGCATCGATGGCCAAAGTATGTCTGTTTACCACGTTGCAGAAATCCTGTTATACTTTATTTTTTCTCCGGGAAACAAGTCAACTTAATTTTTTTAAAGCTTCCTTGATCCATCTATTCTACCGACAGAATATTCCATAGAAAATTCAAGCCATTTACCTAGTTGACTTGTTTCTCTTCAAAAAAATTTAACATGAGCAAAACACCGCATTAGGGATGCATGGTTCCGCACTCTAGCCATCGATATGTTAATGGTGTGCGTGCAGAAACTCGTATCTCGGTTTACAGCATTGCAGACCTTCTCTCATAATTTATCTCAAAATATGGAAAATCTTTGACTGAGTTATGTTTGCGATTAGTACCCATTCAAAGGGAAGGGGTCTTTGCCTTAAGATGAATGGAACAAACCGATAATTAAGTCCATGCAACCCGTAATGGAACCTGACCAAAATCGGAAGAAAAAATGTAACATTAGTATTTCAACCCTCTGATTAAGAGATATTACCTATGTGACACACTGGCTACGTTCTTATCCTCCTTTATCAAGTTTTTCTTTCCACTCCTACTTGGGCAAAAATGTATGGCACTACTTAATGAAAATAATGTCAGTAACAACGGCAGTTATGACTTGTATTATTTGAAACACAAGCTCTTTTTAAGAGCATGACGGAACTGCATACCTCAGCCAAAGAAAATAGAGCGGATTTTCGATTAGAACCTTGTGTTTTGCTAAAACCTTGCAACTACTCGGACAATTTCCAGGAAATACATTCCTTTGGATTGAATTACATTGACTGGATAAGAATAGTAAAATGGCAAAATACTGCAATAAACTAAGATTTGGAACTTAGTTACGGAGCGCATTCTGAATGAGGTTAGGTTTTCTACTATGTTGCCCCAAGTGATCTGATACTTTTGGACATGAGATGCGATGTCAGAAAGGTGCATGAACTACCTGGTTTGTGAAATCGTAACCGTACTTAATCTAGAAAATAAAGGTGTTGCTGAGTATGAACAGTAAAATGCCTGCGACAAGAGCGACAGGCTCCCAGAAACTGAAATTTCAATGGTGAGAAATCAAAGGATCCATTTCCACACTATGGTAGGAAAAACCATGAGCTACTTGTTTAAAATCCCCTTTGGGAAAATTAATTGATAGTGTAGTAACACATTAGAAGGCTATTGCTGGCAATTGGCTTACGGATAATCAAAGAATGGAACAAGTGTGTCGATTTTCGTTACACACGACGGTGACAGCTACTAGTTGCAGGAACTTATCCAGATTCAATCGATTAAGTAAGATGAATGAAGAGATGAATTAAAACGAACACGAATACTCGAAACACAGCGGCCGTCGGGCGAGACGCAAGGTAACACAATTCACACGGACACACAGGGACGGCTCAGTAAAAAGGTGAGTGGGAAAAACCGTTGGAGACTCATCGAACGAAATGCACAGAATCACTCAGCGTCGCGTTGAGAAACTACACGCACAAGCACTATGGAAAGGCTGCACACGGTTCAGACATAAGACACTAACACTTTGAACGGGAAAACCGTAAGGAAATTCTATCGAAATCGAGGATAAAATGGTGAAAAAATTCAAAATGGTACGCGGCGAGAAGCCCGGGCGACCGTAGCACGGTCCGAACGTTGCGATCAACTGACAGAAATGCGGACTGGCTCCTCCTCGCCTACCTAACTGGCTTACACTGTTGCCGCTCGTTCCGGAGACTCGTGAGAATGTACAGAGTTTTGGCTACAAAACCTCGAACGTTGGACAACTTTTTTCAATAGTCGCACGCTGTTGTATTTCGGAGTTGTACAGATTAATTTTTTTGACTCACGCCCGCGAAATAATTTAATTCGAGTAAATGATCTATTACGTGGTTCAAGTGGCAACGCTGTGTAAGAAGAGGTGCCTCGGTGGTGGTTGGCCAGTGTAGCAACATGGGTTGAGTTTGGAATTCACTTTGCGCTGTTGCCAGTTTAAAAGCGATTAACAGTAAAGTGCACACGCATGATAATGGGACGGCAATGCTCTCACTTTTCTGCTTGCGTTATTCAATTATTATTCGCCGAGGTGATGGTGATTACTTTCGCCGACTGATGACAGTTGATAGTGTCATGAGGAGCGGACAGGTGTGGCTTGCAAATAAGGCCCAGTGGCATTTCAGGTGGGATACAAATAAAGGAAAATATTTTTCTTTCACTTTTTTATTTAAAATTTGTATAGCATCTGCCCTATTCTCTTCCTCCCTGTATAACGCGGGTGGTATGTATACAAAACTACAGCGACGATTGCGATGTGTGAACTTAAAAATGACTAACCCGTCTCCTCAACTTCGTAGGAAAGAAGACTTCTTGATCGCAAAAAAAAAACAAAGAAAAATATTTATCTATTCCGAAAGAATGGTTACAGCAATTAATTTTTGTTATAAAGCTTGACCAGACTGCTCTATTCAAATGTCAGTGAGTAGCATTGAATCAGGGGTGGCGATGGCGATTGCCACCCAGGCCTCCTCGGAGCCTACGGACCTCTGGGTCCAAATAAAAATGAGGGTAGAAATGAGAAAAACTAGAGGAGAATACAGAGTGACAAACAAAAGTTCAGGAATATCTGTGAAACTCATTCTTAGAAAAAATTACTTCTTGAACGGAGGACTCGAGCCCAACCAAAGGAAATTTGGGGACCCGGCCCTTTTCACACGAAGAAAAAACTACTTTTATGTGAAACAATTTTCATTATGTGTTCAAATTTATGATTGGTTTTTCTTTATGTATGTGTCATTCTTTTCTTAATCATGCATGCACCGCGATACAGCAAATTTTCCCACAAAGCAATTTAAAAGTGATGGGCGGCAAAATTACTCGCAAAAATTTAAAAAATACGAGATATTGTCACCGCTCCACGCCTAACTACCCGGTTAGGTTTTTGTCCGCGAGCAATGATGACATCTGAGAGTGATACCACTATTCAACCATGTGGGAGCTTGGGTTGCCTACACTGCAAATTGAAGGCGAACCGAAAGAGAGGTAAAGTCACCGCCTACGCCGAACGGCCCAAATAGTCGTTTGGCTAATTATTTTCGATCATGAGAGAACTCGCGTTGCCTACACTATAAATTGAGGGCGAACTGGAAGTGGGGTAAAGTCACCGCTCCGCGCGCCACGCTCGGTGAATTATTTACTTATTTATATATTTATTATTACAAAAATAATCACACTTAAACTGGCAAGACCCTCCAGTCAGCATTATTCGTGCTTTTTCCACGAGCAAATATGTAATGTGACATCTGAGAGTGATACAACTATTCGGCTACATGGGAGCTCGGGTTGCCTACACTGAAAACTGAAGGCGAACTGACAGTAGGGCAACCGACTGTATTCTTGGTCGTTCCTCAATAAACAGCTTCTCTCCTTCGGAAGGCCTCGTATGGTTTACGTTGTGACTAAGGGTGGTTAAAAGAAGCCCTTCAAATGGCATCTTAAAAAGGACAGTTTTTTTAAATCTCGGGTAAAATTCAACAGTATGACCTCGGAGATAGAACCTTGCAAGGGATTGCAATGATTTGCCACTGCATAAAATGACAATACAAAATACGAAAGAAATCCTATACTTTTGACATACTTTGAGGTAGGAGCAGTTAAGACCTTTAAAAAGGTCTGTAGGTCGTTCTGAAATTTGTTCTAGGAAAAATCTTCAGCGCAGCTCACCTGGCTGGGCGCGAGCATGGTCATGCTATCACTCCCCCCCCCCTCAACTTAAACTTCGAAATAGTTAATTCGATTAAATGTGACCGTCTACGTGAAAATGGCCCTTACTCCACAAAAATTCAAAATTGATAGATACCACATTGTAGCAGAGGCATGTTCTATGAACATTTTGAAATAACAATGGAAAATCAAGATACGGAAAATGACACGCCCAAAAACATGAAACCGAACCAGATTTAAAGTTTCATTCCAGGTTTTTATAAATATACTTAAGGGGTATTCAAATTCGCAGTTCAAATTTGGTTTCAGAGAAAGCTCTGATTTGTCTTGATTAGGGCAAGAAAGGCCCGAAAAATCTTCGGATGAATAACGAAAAATTAAAGTGCAATTTTATGCCTTCTGCTGGCAAGTAGATGAGCTAAGTCGCTCGCAAGTTCTTCATCAGAACAAGTTAATTTTCATTTTTGAATGATCAAAATTCATTTTTTCAACACATGTTTACAAAAATAGCATCACTGAAATCTTACCGACATGCACCAAGTCCCCTTCTTTTGAGAATAAGCAGAATATATACAAAATTATAAGTGTGTGAGACGTACCTTTGAGTCAGCATAGGTCCTGACTTTACTCAAAAAGGAACAAAAAGATCCATAATCCTCCATGAATACAATGAAAGCACAAACGCGTGATTCACCAAATTCCGAGGGCACAAAACCTGACCGCTTAACAATGCGTTACAAACTGACGACTGGCTTGAGAAAAAACTCAGATAACTCACGTGAAGTCAGCAATCTTACCTGCAAAAAAGAAACAAAAAAAGCGCTTGTGTCGATTAATTAGGCGTTGGCCGTTCGGTGCTCACCGTTGAGACAAAAGGCGTGACGGGTTTGCGAGCAGAGTAAACGATTGATAGGTATGTTAGAATTTACTTACCCGCTCGAGCTCTTGGCCCACGCCTCTTCGCATTGAACTCGGACTTTTTTTTTTTTTTAATTGTAAGTTTACGGAGAGAACGCTCACTTTACGGTAAAGGCCACGTTTTGATGCGATATTTCGGCACTAAAAGCATAACGCAAGAATTCGAGCACCGCGTGTGTGAGGACACTTTTGAGGAAAGTTATGCAGACGTAAAAAAAAAAACTTTGACCGGAGGGGGGGGGGTCGAAATATTATATTAATGATTACGTACATTAAATGTGAGCATTTAATATCATTAGTTTGGACTATAGCCAAAAAATATGAAGTATCGCCTTAAAAAAAGATAAAAAAATGTGAGCAAACATGACATGCTGTTCTCAATGTCATACCAGCTTAAAAATTAAAGGATTCCGAGCGACTTGATTACATACGGGACCAACAGCGAGCCAGAAGAGGAAATTGGGTGAATCAAATTTTGTCAAGGTGATGCAGTGTTGTACTCATTGTTGAACAAACTCATAGACAATTCGTCGCCTTCCTGACATAAGAGCGTAATTACACTCGACGATGAGCCCTGTAGTCCACATAACTCAATGCTCTCTCGGGCTCATATCAAATTGTAGTTACGCCCTTATGCCAGGTAGGCGACGAATATACTCAATAAAGTTTTCAACGACTGGTGTGGGAAGATGTTTCACCTGAATCACTAAATACAAACAGGGCACATGTCCAGAAAACCAAATTGTTCAGGAGACACAAAAAACTGTTTATTTTGTGGTAGATATTTTTTGGAAAGTCGTTATGTTTAAAAAATATCTACGACGAAATAAACAGTTTTTTGTGTCTCCTGAAAAATTTGGTTTTCTGGACATGTGCCCTTTTTGTATTTAGTGATTCACCTATGTACCTAACAGTTCAATGATTTCAATTCTTATTAAGTCTTTACAAATACACAGAACATCATAGAATAAAAATCATTCACCACGAGTCGTGAACATAGATACAGTTGATTGCTTTACAAATAAAAAAGGGGGAAAAATATACTGAGGAAGAATATGCTGCGACATGAATTCTCGTGACGTCAATCAGAAATCTCTTCTAAGCAGCAAGACGTTTCTTAAAAATAACACCAGGAATGTCATTTTCAACCAGGAGATCACCTGTTGTTTCGGTTAAAAATTTGTGTCGCGGCCTCCTTAGCAGGAATTCCTGTTGATCCAAAGGGAGATTTTTCTCTCGTCATTGAAGTATAATTTTTTTAAAGGAATATGTGATAGGTAATACTCGCCTTGAGCGAGCGAGGTCCGGACTCCGGAGCACAACTATGTACATTTACACTTGCGAGTCAGCATAATGATACAAATTTAACCGAAGCAAAAACTATTTGAAAAAGTATCCCTGCTAAAAATGGTGAGTACAAATGAGTAGAAAATCAAAGTCGTATGAATAGAATTTCAATTCATATGAATAGAATTTCAACTTATATGAATAGAATTCAACTCATTTGAGCAGAATTTCTCTATTCACTTTTCGCCAAATCATATGACTAGAGATTCCAACTCATATGATTAGAGATTTCAACTCACATGAGTTCAGCGTTGAATCTACCGTGTCCAATATCTCAGAAACTAGTCACCGCATCAAAAAAATTATAAGAACGGAATATTCTTATTTTTCAAATTTACATACGCTGTCGGTGTCTTTGGGTCATAAACACCACTTTTGAAAAATGAAAAAAATTGAATTCATGAGTTGAACTTTTCTACTCCTCTGAGTTGAATATTCTAGTGATATGAGTAGGATTTCTACTCATATCACTCTTGAATTTCTACTCATGTTGAATAAGGAAAATCTACTCATGTGAGTCGGCGAATTCTGAATAGCCTACTCATCATTTTTAGCAGGGATAAGCCTAATAAAGAGTCCTTAGGGACTTAATATGTGCGCTCGTAAACTGAGTTATGCAAAATTTTCCCGTGTGTGACTGAAGAGATGTATGGTCTCACGGATCCCTCGTCCTAATTTTGAGC